CCAATTAGCTCGTCGAGAGTGAGAGACTTTAAGTTTCTTACTTCGATAATGGTCGTCTTCTTCGATTGCCACTCCTTTGGAAGAGAGTAGATCATCTTCCTCACAAGCTTCTCATTAGGGACTACTTCTCCATATCCCTTAAGACCGTTGACAATCACAGAAAATCTATCCGTCATAGCTTTGATGTCTTCATCGGGTTTCATCTTGAAGTTCTCGTAGCTATGGTTGAGAAGACTTTTCTTTGATTCCCTCACTTCGTCGATTCCTTCATGAGTGACTTGGAGCTTATCCCAAATCTCTTTGTCATTGGAACAAGATGAGATTCTTCCACATTCATTTGGGCCTAAAGCACATAATATAATATGTATAGCCTTAGAGTTAAGCTAAAAAATTTTCTGCTCTTCTCTACTCCAATCGTTGTACTTGCCAGTAGGGTTGCACAGAAGTCGGATTTCAATCCGATCCGGATCGGTTTTTATCCGATCCGGTTTTTTCCCATAGAAAAAAAACCGGTTTATAAAATAACTGGTTCGGTTTCTAACCGGTTTGGAGGGCCGTATATCCTAACCGGTGTAACCGGTTTTGGTTTTAAAAAAATCAATTTTTTTAAAAAACCGGTTATAAAAAAACCGATTTTAATATTATTAAAATTACATCATCATCAATTGCAACAAAGTTTACGATAATTGAAATACTTAAATACTTCCAAGTTTGATAAATTCAAATACTTAAAATCTTCCAAGTTCGATAAATTCAAATACTTAAAAACGATCACAAAACCCCCCCAACGGCTATATTAACGGCTAGTTTTTAAACCCAGACCGGTTTTTTCGGATAAAAACCGGTTTTTTAACCGGTAAAAAAACCGGTCTAGGTTTTTTTTTCCAAACCGGTTAAAATAACAGGTTTAAAAAAATCCGATCCGGTTAAAAAAAACCGGTTTTTCCCAAATCCAGTTTCGGATATTTTTTTCGCAAAATCGGATATTCGGATTTTTTGTGCACCCCTACTTGCCGGGTGGAGAGGAGTAACCGTCCATGATTGAGTTCCAAGCTTCTAGATTGTAGGATTGAATAAAGTATATCATCTTATTCTTCCTATGTGCATAATTTGCTCCATTGAAGAATGGTGGCTTGTTGACCGGTTGTGAATCCATAATAGGATATTCTTCAAGATAATAAGCATCGGAGGAAAAAGTCATTTCTTTGTCGGTTGCGTCAGAAATTGGTAGAGCTTCTTCGAGGATCGTCTCAAGGTGGTTAAACCTTCTTAACGAGTTAGGCTCTGATGCCAATTGTTGGGATTTTATAAAGCTCGAATCGACAACCGGAATCGCTTGCAAAGAGGGTCGGGATCAGTTTTTATGTTTAGGGAGTAAGGAGATTAAAAGATAGATAATTGTACATCGATTTAGAGTGGTTCGACTTCTCAACCAAGTCTACATCCACTACCTTAGCTCCTCACCAAGGATTTTCCAACAAATTCACTAATTTGTTCTTTCTTTTGATGACAAAGAGTAACCTTACAAACTCCCTAGTTTTTTTGGGCTAAACTAGAACATTTCCCTAACTTTTACACGGGATTAGCTAGAACCTTTCCCTTTTACAAAATGATAAAAGAAGTAAACAAGAAAACCTCTCTAAGGTAGGTGTTTACAAGATTGAGCTCACAAGAAAAAATATTTACAAGAGAAAGATGAAATAAGAATGAAAAACTCTTCTCTTGTGTTTGATTGCTTGGATAGTTGTTCTCTTTATTCTTCAAGTGTCCTTAGCTTGTATTTATAGCTTGGAATGTGTTTGATGTTGTATATAGCCGTTGGGAATGTTTTAGAGCCTTTTGGGGATGATTTTTCTACTCAAAAAGGCTGCCCATAACATGGTGCATCGGTGCACTATCATGGTGCATTGATACCCCTTCATTAAATTCAAATAAACTAGCCGTTACTAGCCATTGCAGCCTTCGTGCATGGATGCACAACATGATGCATCGATGCACAGCCTTGATGCATCGATGCACTAATTGCATTCGGTGTTTGAGTGCATGGATGCACTAGTGCAGGTGCATGGATGCACTGATGGGATGCATGGATGCACTGCAGGGGTGCATGGATGCACTTTGACACCCTTGAGCATTTTGGCTCAAATCCAAATTTAATGGACTTTGAATTATTTTTGAAACATTTTAAAACTTTGAATAAATTCAATTAAGTCCAAAAACATTTTGTAAATTCAATTCAAGTCCAAAAATCATTTTGCCTTAATTTGTTATATCAAAACATAGTTCAACACTAGCTTTTTCATATTTGTGATTTAAGCCTCAACTTTTACCAACTTCCCAAAATAATCCAATTTCACATTCTAGCATCAATTTCAACACTCAAACATTAATTTCCAGCATAATACATCAACTATTGCACATTTACACGTTAACCCATAACTTTTCCATAATTAGAAAATAGATCCCCTAACTTTCTAAAAATTACAAAATGGTCCCAAATTTTTCTAAGGCTTGTAGAATACTTCTTACATCATTTCCATCCCCTACATAATTTTTTCAAAAAAATTCATCTCCGTCCTTATCCTAGGTCGAATACTTTGAAAATTCAAGACTAGGTTTTTCATGATTTTACTCGATTTTGATTTGATTCGAGCATGAAATCAACCTCTATTAAAACTTATAAAATCTCTACAATCAAAGCCCTAATAAAATTTAATCATAATATAAACTTTCCTAAATTAGGGTTTAGGCCGAAACATCATGGAAGCATTTCTAGGAAGTTTTGATCATCATACAAGCTTGGAAACGATTCTAGACCTCAAAAACATCAAAATCATCATCAATTCCATAAACCCTAATATGAACATAAACCATAGAATTTGTTATATTTGAACAAAAGCAAGATTAACATGCAATAATGGTACCAAATGATAGCATTTTTCAAATAGAACAATTTTCTATTTCATTGCTCGATCCAAAATCCAAAGGATATTTGCTCAAAAAATTTTTCTCTTACCTTAGGACATGAAGGGAAAAAATTGAGCTGAAATTGGCTTGGTCTCATGAAATTTCTCCTTAATTTCATGTTAATTTATCATGTATTTAAGCTTAAATGAATATAAAATTCATTTAATGAGAAATATCCATTTTACCATTAATGAAACTTGATATTTACCTTCATAACAAGCCACATAACCCTTATCATCTTTATAAAGTCAAATATAAACAAATTATTGTGCCCTTTACAACTTTGCTCATGTCATTTTCCAAAAAATTCAATATTGCCATTTTCATCCAACGATCCAAATTGAACATGAAAATAAATTCTCAAATCCAATACTTCATATTATTTTCCATCATTTTAACATGTGGAAATAATATTTCTAAGCTTAATTTAATTCCATTCAAATTTACTCAATTTCTATTCGATCCGATTTATCTAATTTTTACTGGACTTTTTTTCTTTCTTTTTAACAAAATTTCCGGATCAAGAATACATTTTCCATAAAACCCCACTCTCAAGAGTAAACTATCCATTTATGGAATAAATTTTTTGGGGGGAAAATTATCACTTAGGTCCTTAAACTTTTCCTAATTTTATACTATGGCCACTAAACTTTTAAAATTTACATTTTGGTCAATGAAAAAGAATCAACCTTTTCAACTCAACTCAAATTTGACTTGATTCATAATTTTATAATATCGACTAAAAAATGTTTCAAATTCTAGTTGAATTATAAAATAGAACTCGAATAACTCTAATTTTTTAGTAATTAGTGAATTAATTTTTAAGTTTGAGTTGAATTCATAAACTTTGTATGATATATATATATATATATATATTGTGTACAATTATAGAAAATCATTTAAATTAGAATTAAATAATATAATAATATTATAAATATTTATAATTAAATTCAAATAACAATTCGAACGAATTGACTCGACTCGATATTTCAAATATAGTTAGAGTTTATAAAATAAGACTCCTTAACTCAAATAACTAAAAACAATTTAGGGTAAATTACACATTTAGTACTTAAACTATTAGCCCTTATTCGTTTTAATACCTAAAGTTTCAATTTTTTAAATTATACCTAACGTTTAATTTTTGTTTCATTTTAGTATCATGTTGTTAAAAATTTAATGGATGGGCTCGTCGGCCTTCACGTCTACAGTCCCAGGTCGTTGCATCTGTCTTCCAATGAAGCCAAACTTTTCAACCTGTACCTTTTCGATCCCATGAACGTGATTCCGACCTCCGTTTCAGCGGAAAATGCCTTTATCTCCCCAAATTGATAATGAACTATTCAACTTCTTTATCCTCCGATCTTTGTTGTAAACCGTCCGACAGGCCTAAAGCTTGATTATGTTGGTCGACTCGTCATTCTATTATGGTCCATCATTCGGATTGATCGTCCATCCACCGAAGCTATGTTCCATCAGCCCGTCTGTTAAATTTTTAATGGAAAAATACTAAAATAAAACAAAAATTAAATGTTAGGTATGATTTTTTAAAAAATAAAATTTTAGATTCTAAAATAGATTAAAACCGATAGTTTATCCAATTTTTTTAACTTTGACTCAATTTGATTCAAAGCTCCCCTAGTCACTGCAGCGTTAGCTAGGCCTGTAAACGAATCGAACGCACACGAACGGAGGTATGCTCATTTTCGTTCATTTAATAAATAAACGAACATAAACGAACACGAACATAAACGAACAAATTTTTTTGTTCATGTTCGTTTATTAAGGAATATAACTTGTTCATGTTCGTTCATTTAATAAATAAACGAACATGAACATAAACGTTGGAGACCTTACAAACCATTGTTCTTTCATGAAAAATAGTCGACAATGCAAAAACATACATAAATCATAAATAAGCTATATGAACATAATAAAGTCTTAAAGTTAATTTGTTCAACAAAACAATCTTCTTGAAATCCAAACAACTTCAATAATATTCGTAACATATTCAACTTGCATTCATGATCAATCGTTAATTCATCATCCATCCTGATCAGAATCAAACAAATAAAATTATATTAAATTAAAAGAGTTATAATAAAAGATGAAAAGTATACTAAATTAACGAGGTTATACCAATTCATTCATCCTCATTTTCAAGGAAGCTCAACATGTATGATATCTTCGTTTTGCTACAACAAATCAAAAAACAAAAAATATATTAGTCATTGTAAAACCAAATTCAATAAAGCTTAAAACATAAATATACCTTGTTTTTATTTTTCTCCAACCCATAGTATTGACGATACCAATCAACTCCACAAACAAGCATATTTACCATCTTAGTTCCTAAAGAGGATCAATGCGGATCAATAACCCTCCACCACACTGAAAGCAGATTCAGAAGAAACAATAGTGACCGGAATTGCCAATATATAAACATCCATTTTTGACAAAATGCTAAATTTAAGATTGTTCTCCTTCCACCATCCCAAGGCATCAAAATATACACCATGCTCACCAATTAAAACTCCTTCCTCCAAATAAGTGTCCAATTTTGACTTGACAAATGTAAAAGTATCGACACTTTTAATATGTTGGTCATATTAGCTGTGCCAGTTTTAATACATTTACCAAATCGACTGAATAAGGAGCTAACACTACTCTGAGAAGTACCTCAGTAGTGAAGTAGAGCAGATAACAGGAATATCAAATCCCTTTTCGAATAGGGAGACAACAGACCTCAACCAGAAACATGTACAATGCAAATATAAAAGATATAAAAACATGGAACTAAAGCAAGAACTACATTATGCCTTAATTGCTATTCCTAGAGCAACCGATCCATTCAAGCGAACTCAACAAGATTGATAAAGCTCTTTGAAATTGAATGCATCTAATCTAACAAGGATAGTTAAAAATAAAGAAAGGAAAACAAATCCAAGCATGAGAGAGAGTAAAGATGTAACCTTGATTTAATAGACCAAAAAAGGTTGAAACCCACAAAAAAATCCCTAAATTCACACCAAAATTTAACAGACCAAATTTTTTTTCAAATTATTTACCTTATGAAATCACGTTCAAGATGCCAAGATGGAGGGAAAGAGATAAAGCTCTGTCGAATCGTTGCAGTTGAAGACTTGAAGCTCTGTCGAATCGTTGTAGAAATAAAAATTGTGGAGAGTGGGGAGAGTGGAGAATCAAGAATGGCTGAGTGACGGGCTGGAGAAGAGTTGAGAAAATATTACTTTTTAGATTTAGGGGGTGTTTGGATTGGGGAATGTGGGATTCCCATGGGAATGGAATCCACATTCCCCCGTTTGGTTAGCCAGGGAATCCCATTCCCGGTAATGTAAGATTACCAATAGTGGATTTTTGAGGTATATTACCGAGAATGTCATTACCTCCCTTTTCTTAGGTATTGTTGGATTACTGGCGTTTTGGACTAAAATGTCCTTAAAAAAATTTTCTTTCAAAAATATCATTCTTCTGTCATTGAATAATAAAAATTCTGCGAAGGTTAAATTACAAATTTATTCTTAAACTATTTTATATTTACAAAAAAAGTCTATAATTAAAATTTTATATGAAGTTCAGTGGTTAAAAAAAATTTACCCTTTCATTAAATCTTTTTATATTTTCAATTTTGTAAAAAAAATTATATAGATTTTATGAATTTAAATTTTTTAAAGAAAATATATAAATATTTTCCAACTTGTTAAAAAAATAAATATATAATAAGGACAATTTGGTCAAATATACATTTTAATAATCTTTTATTCTTTTAACTAAACATGGTAATCTTACATTTCTACTAAGCCAACCAAACACAAAATACAACATTGCCAGTAATCTTATTCCATGGTAATCTTACATTCCCACTGGTAATCTTACATTCCGTGAACCAAACGCACCCTTAAGGTTTTTTTGTATTACCGCTTAATTGCTTATGGGTAAGGACGTAAAATTGGGTTAATTATGGAGTTGGTCATCAGAATATCAGATTAATTAATACTTTTAAGATACATATAAATTGGTGACCAAAATTGATTTAAGAATATTGAGTTAAACATAAATGAACGCACATAAACGAACATAACCGAACGTTTACGAACGTAAATGAACGAACGAGACCTATGTTCATGTTCGTTCATTTAATTAAACGAACAAAAAATATTGTTCATGTTCGTTCATTTAATAAATAAACGCACATAAACAAACTTCCCGCCGTACGTTTCATGAACGATTCGTTAAACGTTCAGTTTATTTACAGGCCTAGCATTAGCCTGAACCAGAACCAGATCACGTGAGATAAAGATACAACCAGCACTAGAGACAGAGTAGTTTTACAATTTACACTGTTACTGCTTATTGGTTTAATAAAAGGTCTAACCATGGTTTTACTCCCTTTATCATGTTAAATTTAGGATTTAATCCTTACAATTTGAGATGATTTAATACGCTCTTTATAATCTAACTAGTAAGTTCAAATTGATATCTTGCTGCCACTAAACTGACCGAGTTGATATTTTTTATTCGATTATATAATTAGAGAGATTTAAAAATGTAATCAATCATATTCAATTAATAGTAAATTTGTGGGGAAGTCTCACGTGCGATAACTTAATATTAACTAAGGAAAGACTATCGAAAATGTTATTATTTTTTAACATTTCCGATAAAAATACCTTTAACATTATTGTTTATACCGTAAATGTTAATATCGACCACTTTATTAGAAATGTTAAAAAAACATTAATATTTTAGATAAAAATAATAATGTTTTAGGTAATTTTTTATCATAAATGTTAAAAAAATAATAACATTTCTGATAACACATTTCCTTAATCGTATATTAAGACTGCCGTACCCGTAAATTTATATATCAGTCAAGTGTACAAAACTCATCTCGTCACTTCAACGACAATACTTAAAGGTCTGCACCTACTTGTGATACTATAAAAGTAGAGGGATCTATTTATATAAAATTAAAAGGATTAATTCCTAAATTTTAGCACAGTAAACGCACTGAAACCATAATTGGACCAACAAAATTTTTACAATTACAATGTACAACTCAACGAGTCTACCGAGTTCGGAAAACAAGAGAGGCGTGAACTCGACGATTTTCCCCTTCAACTCAATCCTCATCATCGTTCTCATCCACCAGTTCCAAACTTTTGCCTCTGGGGATCTAAAAACATTATCTTTTCAATCCAACAAAAGTGTCTTTCTTTTCCATGATGTAAATGATGAGGATAGTCTGATCTACGCATGCCCGAAATGAATGCAAATTTAGTCTGAATCCCAGCGGATCCGAACAATCCACCAATTCCTTCAAGGTAAAACTTAAAAAGCTTAAACCAGATACCGAACAATCATGTACAACACTTGCAGTATTAGTTCAAGTGTGTTGTCGCTTAGGAGAAATGGGTCTCTTTCATTTTCATCCAACGATTGTTCTTCCAACGTTTTCAATCCATCACTTGACAAAACCCCTTTCTTATCTTCATCGTCGCCGCTATGTTCTTCTTCATGTTGTTCATCTTGTGCTTCTTGTTGTTGCTCCGCATTTGCTGCTTCTGCCACACATAGGATACCCATTACCCCTTGCTTTTTGTATGGATTAAGGCAGTCTGCCCTAGTTCACCGCTCACCTTCTAGGAGGTTCATTTCAACTGCTGGATACCGCTGCCTTTTGCGGTTTCCAAGCTTCGATCGAGCTGCTTTCGAGGTTTCTACTGGTAGTAGGGTTAGTAGGAAAAGTAAAGGGAGGCTTGGATGTGTGGTTTGGGAGGATAATACAGCTAGTTCTAGGTATTGTTAGGCGGAGTCGATGCCGCTGAGGCCATGATCAGCTTATTGAGTGAGGAAGCCGATGGGCAGTGTTTAGGTACTGGAGAAATGAATAGGAGTACATATACGATAGCGGAAGTGAACAAAGCAAAGCATTATAATAGCAAGTTCTATAGCCTGAAGAAGAAAAGTAAACAAGTTGACAACAAAACAAGCCACGGTAACCAATGCAATAATGAAACGAAGCAAAAATTGCAATTGGATGAGAGAGGGAGGCAGAAGACTAGAACTTTGGGGTCAGATATGTTGGAGAGTGATTCTAAGGATGAATATGACCCCATTGCTGTTTTGTCAAGAGAAGAGAGTAGAAGGATGGCAGAGAGCAAGTCATCCTTGAGAGCTGAGCATCGTAGGGGAAGGACAAGGAGTTCTAGTTGCTCATCTTATTACTCCTTGTCATCTTCGGGGGACTTAGAGAGTGACCCTGAGCTCTCAGAACAAGAGCAATTTGTTGCGGAATCAATAAGGGATGAGACTAGCAGAAGTGAGGGACAGGTTGCAGCAGGCCGGAAGAGGGACAATGCAGGGGGAAAGAGTGTTGATTGGGATTTAAGAAAAAAGTCAGAGAAGAAGCTTGCTGAAGTATCTGCTGAAGAAATACAATCTGGGGAAAAATCATCGCAAGAATTTGCAAGAATGGTGAAGAATGATGCAAGTGACTATGTGAAAAGATCTAGTTCCCATGAGCAACATGATGTCGAGGACTGGGAAATAAGAAAGCAGCATACTCGTACAAATAATCAAGTTATTGGGCGGTCTGAATCTAGAAAGAAAAGCCAGGACATTAGAGAAATGACAAAGATCCATGTTAGTGATGTTGCCACAACTTCCCATGAGAAGCAATTCACTGGCAGGGAAGCAAATGTGAGAGAGTCAGAAATCCGAGACAGTGCTGAAAAAAATTCTACTTTGCAGCGGCAATCTGAATCTAGAATGAAGATTGAGGAAGAAGATAGGAATCTAGTTCAGAGTCGGTCCGGATCGAAAATGAAGATATGGGAAGAAGATACAACCATGGCCCAGAGTTCATTTCAGCAGACAAGAAAGCAACATCAGCAAAAGGATGAAAGGATCACCGGACAACTGGAAATGAGAAGAAAATCAGAATGCTCAAGTGAAATTAATGAAGCCAAGAACAAGAAGACCTCAATATTACAGTCCGGAACACAAAAGATGAAATGGGATGATACTTCAAGCATAAATTTCAGTTCTGATCAAAAACTACCTCATAGAATTGAGCCTGGTAAAGGAATGCAAGCTATTACAAATATATCTGTTGTTCATGCTGACAACACTAAGATAGTTACCAATACTCAAACAAGTTCTGGAGAAAGATTGGTTGAACATGAAAGTAATTTCTCTTCAGGTTTGGGTTGGATTAATGAGAGAAGTGAAATACATAATGAAGGCACTGGTAGAGTTGAGCAAAAGAAATCAAAAAAAGAGATCTTGAAACCTGCTAGCGTATCAAGTTCTTCTGGAAAAGCCGAGGAGGGCTCTAGTTTTCAAGCATCTTTGAGTTTAGTTTCAGAAACACGAGAACAACAGTCTCATGCTGATTTAGAGGAATCAGAAAAGAGAGGCAAAGAGGATGTTTTGATGCCTCCTCATCCTCAAGTCATAGCTGGCGGTCTCCTGCATGATACCTCAATGACCAGGATTTTCTCTAAGGAGGCTTCTGATAAAACTTCAGAAAGTGGCTCTGCTACCTCATACATGTATTCAAGAGGAAGGACTGCATTTGCACACCATGAACCGTATGCGAGAGAAAGGAGTGAGACTTATGGGGAGTCTTTAAACATGACTACCTGTGAAGATTCTCTGGGTTCTGCTCAACGGTTAGAGGAATCATCCTCACAATTTCTTGGGGAGTTTGTTGAGAAGGCAAGGCATGATATCTTAATTTCTGGGGTCCAACAGGGTAATATAAGTTCTGACTTCACTTCTTCATATGAAGGCGATAAGCATGAGCCAAGTTCTTCTGGTCAATATGGCAAGGAAGAACTGAAGATGAGAAGGCATTACTTGAGGCAGTCATCAAAGGGCTCTGGAGGAAAGGGACCCTCTGATGAAATGTGGGATGTAAAAGACCCATCTGTTCAGGAACCCCTTGAAGCAGAAATTCCTCAGCGGACTTCTACATCAGAGCATGCTGTCATAAAGAAAAGTGGCAGGTCCTTGTGGACCCTTATGGGAGATATCGTTCGATTGCGATGGAGTTCACATGCTCAGACCCATAGCTCAAGTTCAGCTGCAAGATCCCGAGGAAGGACTTCACCAGACGAGTCTGTTCGCAATGAGACATGGTTTTCTGGTCATGAAACAAATGAAAACAGTGAAGAAAATCTGAGAAGGGAAAGAAACAACCTGGCTTCGGAGGGAATATCTCATTGGTTGGGACAAGGAATTCAAGGTGAAGGAGATTTTATGACCCAACAAGGACAACTGAAAAAGTAGGAAACCTTGAAGGGAACATTTCATCATCTTCAAATATATTAGAAACTGCACCTGCATCAGAAGTTATTTCATTGACCTCACAAAAGGAGAAACATGACAGGAGTAGCTTTGAGGTAGCCCCTTCAGACAAGGAGGTAATACAGTCATCTTTACCGTTTCCAGCCGGAAGCACAAGAACAACTCTTGTAATAGAAGAGATTCCAGAACCTGATAAAATTAAAATCCAGGGAAGTGGGTCAATAAGTACAATGGGACAACCTCTTGGTGCAGGACTAGATGAAGCATCAAGGTCTGAGGGTAAGGAGGGGGAACTAAAACAAAGAAAACTTCAACGGACCAAACAAGTTCCAAGAGATAGATTTGATGAATGGGAAGAAGCATATAAACTTGAGTGTGAGCAGCAGAAAATTGATGAAATGTTTATGAGAGAAGCATTGCTGGAAGCCAAGAAAGCTGCTGGTTCTTGGGAGTTGCCTGTTGGGGCAGTACTAGTTGAGCATGGGAAGATAATTGCTCGTGGTTGCAACATGTGAGTTCAATAACCCGACATGCTTTTCGATTGATTGATTGATTATTTCTTAATGTTTTGTATTGATTATCTAATTTCAGGGTAGAGGAATTACGAGATTCAACTGCGCATGCAGAAATGATCTGTATACGGGAAGCTTCGAGCATACTACGTTCCTGGAGGCTTGCGGTACTATTTCTCTTTGCTGTTCTGAAGTGTATTTAACTTTTTGATGTAGGGGATGTCAAAGCATCTAAAGCAGTTCGTCAATAGTTATAGTTTCACTACTAACCAGGCAATTTGCTGAGAAAACATGAAAAGATATGTGCACCTAAATTTCTCTGATATTATGGATTATATGTTCAAATATGTCATTACCAGCAAATCCATTTTCTAACTTGCAATGGATTATGAGCCTAATTGTCTAAAGGTTTTTAGCTTTGTAGTTATTGCGGGAAGCTTGATGAACTTGTTAACCTACCTACTATTATGCCATAAACATGCATTCAATTTTATATCCAAATGATGATGTACCATACTTGATAAGAGAATATAATTCTAGCTAGCTTTCTGTTTGATAACAAAATTCATGTTTTTATTCCAATTGTTGTAATATCAGAACAAATATCTTTTCGTTTATATGGTGCATGAGATAGAGCCTTCTTTCAAGCCAAACTCTTGGACTCCTGAAGTAGAAGAATCTCATTAGATCTCGTCTCTCTAATTGTGTTTTGATTTAGTTTATATGGTTGCAGGTGTTGTGTCCCTTTTGTATTATGTTCTGTTGCATTGTTTTAATTCTATTGCTGGAGGTGTATTTAGAAATAAGGTGATTCGATTGTGACTTTGGATGAGGTTTTATGAGCTTAAGGTGTTTGTTGTAATGGTGAATATCACCATAGGAGGATATTCCGTGTTATCTTTTGTATTGGGTATTATTATTAATAAACTTTGAGGTACTCTTTTCTTCCTTCCAATGTTCGTTAACATATTTCTTAGTATGTGAACGAATACGAAGGGAGTTTTTAATGAGACCTCCAACTTCTATCAAAAAAAAATATCTTTTCGTTTCCCTTTTTTAATGGTTCTATAGTCAAGACATTCTGTGACTCTTTTTAGTGATCGAATCTTTTGCCCCTGCAGGATACAACACTTTATGTTACACTTGAACCATGTCCCATGTGTGCTGGAGCAATACTTCAGGCAAGAATTGACACTGTGGTGTGGGGAGCTCCCAATAAGCTTCTAGGAGCAGATGGCAGCTGGATACGGTAGGAATTATGACGATAAAATTCTTTACCCGTCACCGGTCCTGGTGAATTTTGTAGTACCGTGATATTTAACTGTTATATAGCTTGAATTTGTACTTTTCCATGGTTTGAAAATTGCAACATAACATTCTTGCCAAGACAAAAATGTTGCTGATTATCGCATGTGGTTTTGGTCTTGATACGGGCTACTAGAGAAATATAATTGTGGAACTCTTCTTAAGGAATTACCCTATATTTTTGCAGGCTTTTCCCCGATGGAAGAGGAAGTGGTTCAGAAGTGACAGAGAAGCCAGAGGCTCCGGTCCATCCATTCCATCCAAATATGGGAATCAGACGGGGGATATTGGCATCGGAGTGTGCCGATATGATGCAACAATTTTTCTATCTCAGGAGAAAGAATAAGGTAAAGAATGCAGAGCAGTCCCAACCACCATCTTGTCTTCCTATAACAAGTCATCAATCAAAATTCTTTACCAAGATGCATGATTTCTTGCATTTGATGTTCTGTTTGTGAGATTGTAGGAAACCAACATGCAGTTTTTTTTATTAGGTTCTATAAAGTGTTTTATGAATGAAATGCTAATTTTCTTCCAATCAAATTGAATGTGTGATAGATTATTAGATTTGGCACTCTTTGCCACATGAACAACTGAATGGCGGACAAGGTTCATTGTCTATTTCTTAGCAAAACCCTTCTTAATCTTCCCCATATCTGTATCTTCTTATCATATAAAAAAAACACCATTATGGCAAAATGTTCTCAGTTCAAACTTCAAACTCGATCAACATGATTGCCATTCGCCTCAAGCGAGAACTACAAGTGCAAAAATAATAGAAACAGATATGAATAACACCAAAGCTGAATAACAAAAATATTGGCAGCGTTTTATTGCTTATCCATCCTATTCTTACATGATTGATGAGAATGAAGCATAATTGGAATCATAACTGTCAACAGGAATCGATATATATATGTCAACGGTTAAGTTGATCTGTCTTCACATTTCAACCCTTAAGTCATACTCGACAACAAGGCCAAGATTGTCAGCTAATTTGTGGTATTGGAGACACCCTGCACACTGATAAGAAGTCAGGAGGTCAAAAGCATTTTTTTCTTAATTTAAACAATTATAACTAGTTCTCTGCCAACACAGATAATATATTTGCACTTTTGTTTTCAATAATCAATCAAAATCTTAACATCACTTCTAGAGGTTTTCAAGATAAAAGTTAAGAGACATTTTCAAGAAATTAATGCAGCTGTTAAAATGTTTCGTTCAACTTCAAGAATAGATAAATATTGCAAACTTTTGATCCTCAAGCTACTAAGGGCTACCCCCAAACCCACAAAACACCATAATATTAATAGAAACCAGTATTGTAAGAGCCTATAAACTGGAAAACAAATGAACCACTACAAAACTGAAAGCTTAATTGCAGTGGAGAAAAATGTAAATTTTACACACACTGAGGTCAATATTTCATTTCCATAGCTCTTGTGATAGTAATAAAAAACAGCAGACTGGATCAAATACATTTTTCATATTACCATGCTTTATACTGCCATAGAAAGGTTTGTCTTCTAAACCATTTATGATGAAAACATTAGCCGTTCCAATAAATTGCCCGTTCAGCTCAGTTGGTAGAGCGCAAGACTCTTAACCTTGTGGTCGTGGGATCGAGTATCACGGTGGGCAATTCATAATTCTGACTACCTTACCTCCCCTCACCCCATTACATATGGGAATAGGGTCAGCTAATAATTAACCGTTCCAATCTAAATTATTTAAACCCATTCAATTATCAAGAAACATATAATAAGAACCTTTCCTGATAGGAAAAAAAGAAGAAACAAGGAAATATACCTGTACATACACAAGCCCGCGTTCATAGGCCAAACGGTTTATTAGCCTCTCTGTTCTTTCGCCACATTCCCCACAAGTGAACTGGACTGATAAACTTCTTCTTGGCAATTTTATGTCAATTGTTGAACCCTGCACAAAGATCATGCATCACAAATAAAAACCTATTGGCATGTAGATGTTGGATTATCTCTGGCAATATAATGCAAAACCCATCAGAGCATCTGCAATTGCAAGAACTGTAGGAACAACATGCTTTCTTGAATTTTGAACTTCCAATAAAAAACATGTAGTCTTCCTATTCTTCCACAGATAACTGCACATTCTCATCATACACAAATATCCCAAGAACTGTAAAAAAAGAATTTACAATTCTGTCTCCCAAAACCTCAGAATATTTGGCATCCCCAAACATGTCCAACCTCTCAAATGAGCAAATCTGATATTCTGTTAACTTGAATTGCAAATTGTAATCAAACCAGATAGTGAAGACTATTGTTGAAAAAAAGGAAATCTCATTGAGTTTGTGGCAAGGTGAACTGAATTATTGATATGTCTAATGAAGGTAGACACTAGAAGTATACCAAGTGCAAAAGTAATCGTTTTTTAAACCCTTTTCCAAAAGAACCATTTTTGGGGCAATTCTCCCCCACTTAAAAACTCATTTTCCAGAACATATTATATGTATAAGTTTTCCCTTGCCGATTAAGGTTTGCATAAACAAGAGCAATAGCAATATATTTCCAACATATATAAAGGGAAAGAAAAGAGTAGCAGGAATAAGGAAACTCAGATAATATTTGAGTATACATGAAGTGAAGAATTATATCGTACAGAGTTTGAATTAGCTGTATTTTCATTTGGGTCTGTTGTAGAATCAGAAGCCAAAACCCGAACTGCTCGTTTGGGTAGCACCAGCGAGGGATGTGAAAGTTTCAGGCTGAAAAAGAAAAGAACAAAAGTAGGTGAATTTGAAAGTGAGACAAGGGGAAAAGAAAGAAAAAACCCAGAAATTAAGGATTACCTGGGAATTGGTTTGAAGGGGTTGTAAAATGAAAGGGAAGTGATGGGTTTGTAATTGTAAGAGTGAGAGGTGAGTTTTGGGAAGGAAAGAGTGGAGCAGAAGCAGATACCGCTCGTTGCTGAAGCCATTGTTTTGTATTTGTGTAGCTGCTGCTGCAGTTGCAGTGACTATGGATGAATATTTTGGCCGACAAAGGCGTCTAGTAATAGTTACCTTGTATGTAATTGAAGTTGTTACGACTTATTATTACTTTGATTCTTTTTATGTCGACAGAAGGCATTAATTTTTTTAGGTTTAAATATAGAAAAAGGTGTCTAACCTATGTCTTTTTTTTTAATTTAATGTCCAATGTTTATTTCGTTTTAATTTGATACATAGCATTACAAATGTTATCCATTAGGTGTCTGGTCGTCAACGGCGTTAATTTTCCCCATTAAGTGACACATGTCACAACCTGATAATTTCAAAAAATTTATTTAAAATTAAAAAATTAAAATTATATATATATTTTAAAAAGAAACACAAATTTTGAAAAAAATAAAAACTTTGGAAACTTTCATTTTAACCCCTAAACCCATGCCGACCGTCGCCTTTTGCCATCGATGAAGCTCTACCTGACCTCCCCTCCCCTGGAGATCAAAACCCCTATGAATTCGTGATCGATCGACGGTCGATCGACCATCAGAATCGTGTGGGATTACGATTTTCATCCTAGGACTTGTGGGGTATAAAACGTTGATTCGTCATCGTTCGGTCACGATTTCATGGGGGTTATGGTCGCTAAGGGGAGGGAGGTTGGGTGAAGCTTCATCGACGGTAAAAGGCGATGGCCGATGTGGGTTTAGGGGTTGAAATGAAGGTTTTTAAAGTTTTGAGTTTATTTCAAATTTTGTGTTTATTTTTAATATATATATATTAAAAATAAATCCATAAAAATCCATTAGATCGATTGTGGTAATCGACTGTTTGATCAGATTTGGTGGTCGGTCGTTTTCTGTTTGGTCGACTGTGTCAGGGGAGGGGAGGGGAGGGGAGGGGAGAAGATGGCACATTGTTTTTTCTAATATAAAATATTTTAAAAAATTCAAAAACATCAAAACATGACATGTGTCATATAATAGGAATTTTTAACGGCGGTTAACGTCCGGGCACAATGATAACGAAAAAAATATTATGCACCTATTTTAACATAAAATTCTTTATGCATTAAAACGTTTTACAAGACAAATTTTAGGCACTTATTTTTTTATTAAACTTAAAAAAAAAAACTACAACAATAACATGGTTCCACCTGGGAAATTGTTGATCCGAATTGGATTCCGAGACCAACCTCATCTACTTGGTGAAAGGGAAGTGGCACTGACACTGTCTTTACTGCCCTGAACTTGCCGGGCATTATTTAGATGCTCATTCTCCAACATGAACCATTAGAATATTTTGCTCATTAAGCAACAAGTGTGCATGTTGATGGGACCAAATGTCTAGCCCCGTGCTGTGCTTGCACAGATTCAGCAAATATTAAACCACAATCTCATTCTTTTTCTTGTACTCAATCCCTGCATGTCATTCAAAATTTTGTTCAAAACAGGCTCCACACCATTTTTATTTCTCATACTTTATTTATGACACCATCCGTTAGTTCGATCGAATAACTGCGAAGCCTATTCCTTACATTTCATATTTTCTATCCAGTAAGACCAAGAATCTTACTTTCGTTTGTGGAATGGCATTAATTAATCTCAACCAAAATAAATTCAACTGTTCAAGTTCTGTGGGACAAAATATACCTGCATCTCTCTCCAGTAATAGGGTAGGAAGGACACAGCATGAGCAAGATCTTTGTAAAATGCTTGGGTCTCATGCAATATCTGTGGTCTTGAGTTTTGTGGCTTCCAATTACATATGTAGTAACAAGCCACATACTCGAGGTTCCTAAGCATCGGCACATTGGCATCCAAAAAGGTGCGTTACGGTTGGAAATTTACCGGTAACAGGAGACCGGGAATTACTCGAACCTGGGCGTACGAATACCCTTTTGTGACCAGTGACAAGTGCAGAAACATGATTCCAACAACAGCTGCCATTGAAGTAGTACAGATTAGGAACACATCAAACCAAGAAAGAACAATAGACTGTTTCCATATCTCTAAACACGTTGAAAGAGAGTATTAATCAGACGAGATAACACCGAGAACTCTATATCTTTATACACCTTGAAGCTCACTACTTGCCTAAGTACAGGATAGGCTGTTTCCATATAGACTGAATCCAGTAGTCTTCTGTACATCCCAGTGAGATGAGCTATGATGATGTATCCAGGGACAAGGGCCATTAAACACCCAGTAAAGGGCCCTGAGCATGTTTTGAACCTTAAGCCAATTAGTAATATTCAAATTTTATCCAGGTAATCTAGGAAAACAAGTGTTGCATTCAAACTTAAAACTATGTTAAGGATAAACGGATAACATAATTGTTCTGTTGAGATGTCTGATACGATATGGTGGAAACATGTACTAGATATTTATCTAGATTCTGATCTTCCATTATGGACGACATAAAACACTTGTTAATGTTGGATGTTTGGGGACTTGCCGACCTGTAAGTTTTGGGATACCAAAATTTCAGGAGATGTGAAATATAGATAATCAAGAAAAATATAAAAAATATCTAAATTAATTTTAAACGTTTCATGGGGCACGACCGCACTTCCAATACCCTGGCCTATGTCCATCCCTGGCTGTACCGGCTGTTTATCCCTGGCCTATGCCCCTCATGCAATGGAAGTGTTTTATGCACGCAATTACTGGAATAAATTGGTCACAGATGGATAAATGTTAAAAACTTGATCAATATGGTGAGGTTGTAATGAGGGACTGCTTGTAGACGTTGAGTATATGGTATAATACCCTTGTAATGATATATATATGGTGTCTTATTTAATCAGTACAATATCTTTATCGAAACAACTTACAAGAAAACCCTAATTAGTTAAGTTTCCCTGATCATAACACAAACACACACATATATATATATTATATAAGCTTATATATTTAGTATCTTAAGCCCTAAAAATCTGCTCTTGCATTGGGACTGGCATCTACTGCTTGGTCGCTGCTTTCCCACCTTTTCCCTGAAGTGCAGAGAAATCCATCAGACATTAGACTCCATTATCATTCCTCACAAACATAATGATAATATATATATATATATTCGAGGTGAGATCGAAATACCTAGTAAAAGTTTTTAATTTTAAATTGATTTAAAATGATCGGATGAATACATAAAGTTTTAAACTCGACTATTGCAAGTTACCTTCTTAGCGGCGGGCTTTTTGGGTTCCAGAGGCTTTTGAGTAGCCTTTTTGGCGGCAGGCTTGGAAGCAGCGGTGACCTTTGAAGTTGAAGCTTCCTTCTTGACCTGCCCAAAGAGTTGAGTGCCAACAGGCTTTTCAGCCTTCATTGATGCCATTGCTAGCTCTTGAGAAATTCAAATTAACTAGCAGTAAAAATTAAAAAACTTGGCTAAGCACATAGCTATATCTAAATTGGTGTTTTTTGCATGTATATATAGAAGGTTTTTACAGTTGAGCCCAGTGGATGAAGGAATTAGAATGGGTGGGTTAAAAGATTCCAACGCGATAGGAGGATGGTGGAAGTTTAAGAGAATATGGAATAACCGACCTCAAGACATGTGATATTATGTGATCAGAACAACTATATATACTCTTAGGTATTATCTTACAGTATCAGATTCATATACTTCGCTTAGAATTTTTGTTAGTCTCTTTTGTTAATTACTTTATATTCTTCCTAAATTTCATTCTCGATGTGGTTAGATTTTGTTAAATTAAAATCTATAATTATGAGCACATCTTTATAATGTATATTGATAGCATAAAATATGATATAAATTAAGTGACCAATTGTATCATAATTCATAAGGTATTAGAAGTATAATGGAAATAAAAATATAGATACCATTAAAGTTGTATTTATAATTTGATGAGAGATAAAGTTATAAGTACATTCAATAACTGATTCTTAAATCAGTTATATAAAGGGGTTCTAGTCCCCAATAAATAGATTATCTCACATTTTCCTTTTATCTCGTCAGAGAATTTACATTGGGAATTTTATTCTTGTTGGAAGATCCCAACCAAAGAAATATTTAAGATTTTATCATATCAATTAATTCAGGTAGACTTCGACATCTAGTATTTTGTTCTTGATGATTTGACATTATTAGATCTTGAGTTCTTGATTTTATATCAATTAGGGTTTGGTTCAAACAAGTGGTATCATCGTATGTCGTGTTGAATCATGAAGAGTCGAATTTTGTTTTATTTTTTCCGATTTGATTTGTTTCTAAAGTTTGAAGGATTTGATATTTGAATTAAGATATATAGTATTTAGGGTTTGTTCATCTTTCGTGCAATTTTGAAATTTTCAATTGCTTGTATGTTGTGATAGTCCTGTATGATTAAAATGTTTGAATGGTGATTGAATAACTGGATGAAGAATTTCTATTTGATAACTTAGAGTTTAATTATCACCGGTTGAGATGTAATTTTGAGATTCTATATGGAATTCACGACTAAGGATACTGATAAGGAATTATGAATTTTTAATTCATAAAGACAGTTTTCTTAATTTACGTTTATGAAATTGGCCCCATTAAGTATTAATTTTTTTAATCGATAAACTCCTTTCGACAATAGCAGAATTGATTGAATTCAATTGCTTCAACATACAATTGATTTTTTTAATATTTATAATAGTTAAGGATTCACTGTTAATTTCTCAAAGTATATGCAGGGATGGCAAAGGGTCGGGACGGGCTGGAATTTTGCCTGTTCTGACTCCGACCCGACACGACACGTTGAGACTGTAATTCGATTCTGACTCGATTTTGATTTTAATATTATTTAATCTGACTCGACTCTAAAATTAAAATAAAAGCTCGACTTTAACCCGATCCAAATCGAAATATATAGTTGGGAAAAAAATCGAACAAAATCTCAAAAGTAACCCAACATCCAATATTTTTCCAGTTTAGCCTAAAATAACTTATTTTTTTCACAACAATTACAAAGACAAATCCCTAAAAATCTCACTAAATCCCTAAAAACATGAATCTTCACATAAAAATATAAGTTTTTTACAACAAAACTAAAAAACATTATGCTAAATAAAAAATAAAATGAAAACAAAGGAAATCAAACTGAATAAAATGGTAAAAAAAAACAATTAAAGTTATATTTTTCACAAACAAAAACAGGTATATATTCGAAAATCTTTAGATCTAAAATCCCTAAAAATATAAAAGTAAAAGGTAAAAAAATCAAAAGGAAAAGTGGAGAACATCTATGACCATCTAAGAGATGAAATAGAAGAAACAAAAACATTTGGGTAAAGAGGATTTGAGAGAAGAAATGGAAAAAAAAAATAGAAAGGTAAAGGGAAGAAAGTGGTAGAAGAGGAGAAGAGAAATGAAAAGAAATAAATCCTAAACATTTATATATATAGGATGACAGTTTTGTAAATAAATCAAATTATATAATATAATTAAAAAAATCCGGATTGAGTCAGGTTGAAGATTTTTTTACCCCAAATCCGACTCCGACACGAACTTGAAAATTCCACATAAAACGTCCGACCTGAACTGACCCGAACCTGAAATTCAAAGAAAAAATTCACTCCTCTCAGGTCAGATCATGTTAGAACCCATCGGATTCGAGTTATTTTGCCATCCCCAAGTATATGATTCTACTTTGGTTGAATTCAAAGTTTTTATGATATAGTTTAATTTTATGAATTCAATTTATGCTCTTTGCGGAGATAACGAGTAGCCTTGCCGAAGCCCTCTTTTGATTATAAAATTTTTCGACAGGGAACCATTCACAATTATTGAAATAGAAGCTGTGGATAGGCACAAGCTAATCCATCTTCTCCATCTGTTGTCGAGCCCCATTTGCATCATTACGAACTCTAAAAATTTCCAATCAACGAAATCATATGCCTTACTAAAATCTACTTTCAAAATCAACGTTTTCCTCTTCCTTTTCTTCAAATCATCTAAAACCTCATTCGCTATCAAGGCACAGTAGGAGATCTGTCTACACGCGATAAACACAAACTATGATTCCTCTACCACTTCATCAATACATCTCTACCACTTCATCAATACATCCAGCTAACATCTTGGATAAGACTCGTGCTAGAATTTTGTACAAGCTCCCCACTAAAGAAATTGGTTTGAAATCTTCAATACGCTCAGGGGCACTCTTCTTAGGGATTAAAGTTAAGAATGAATGGTTGAATGATTTATCTAACAACTTTCCATTGTAGAATGGATCAAAAATTTCCATAATGCCAAATTTTAAAACTGCCCATAATTTCTTAAAGAAATCTAGGTTGAACCTATCAGGACCAGGTTCTCTCGAACCGTCCACCGAAGAAATGGTAAACCAAACTTCCTCTTCAGAAAATATAATCGTTCTTGATTTATGGATCATGGAATCTACTGTTTATTGTATGAAGCAATTATTGAGATACTGTCTGGGTAGGATTCTGGAGTATGTAGGTTCAACACCGATCAAGCTGGTAATTCCTTATGGACCTAAGGTGACCCTTGGGTGGGCTCTTGGGCCCAATGGGCCTAGTGGTAAGACTTTATGGACCCTAAGGTACTCCCTTAGGGTGGCTTCTCTGCTGTGTGCATTGGGTAAGTTCTTATGGGCCTAAGGGCACACCCTTCAAGTGGACACCTATGCTTCAGCTAGGGTAAGACCTTATGGATCCAAGGTGCTCTCTTAGGTTGACACCTACGCCTAATGAGCCTAGGGTAAGTCCTTATGGATGTAGTTCTGGGGAACTGCATATCAGTGTTCGGTTGGAGGGTATTAATGTGATTTTAAAATATGTTTTAAACTACTAATGTTTTTGAAGGATCTGTACACATTTCTTTGTTTTGTTGGAACACACTAGATTCCCCAATTCAATCTTCTGAATTTGTCTCTCTCTGAATACTTCCTTCAGACCGTAAATTCTTGTTTGTAACTGACTTAGCTAATGGAATCTGATTTCACCGCTAGAATCTGATGATGATTGTTCCGTTAAGGAATTTATGCTTTGCCTTATACCCGATGGCCTATTGAATTCATCTGGTAGCTCTGTATTACTGAACTTCCCAAAGCTCACTCTTTACTCATCATTTCAGGTTAAAAGAATCGATCCAGTGCAACTATCAACTTCAGTTTTGGGAGTTCCTTCATCTTTGCTTGCAGAGTACGGTACAATGTGTAATAAGGGGGCATGTAAGTCACATTTGATTTTTCTTATGTACTGAGTCAAAATCTATGTTTGTAATATATGAATGGTTTTAACAAAAAAATTAATTTTTTCTGGATTTTTATTGTGGGTCGTTCCGGTAACCCTAATCTGACATCTTGAATCGGATCGGGTCACCCGCATCAGTATGAGGGTGTTACATATATTACACACACATTGGATGAGTAGCGGCGGAAGCACTTGTAAAAACATTGAACCAAAGCCCTATCTATTCAAACCTTGAAGGTGGACAGCATTTGGTCAAAAACTCACCCAAACCAACCTCCGCCTCTCTCTGTTCCTCCTGTCTCTAGTAGCTTCACAAAGCTCCAAATTCAGTCCCATTTTCACTTATTGTTACTATAATTTTATATACATTTTGCAAAATACTATTATTTTTCAAAACTATAACAAAATTTAGAATAATTATTTAATATATTGATAGTAGAATTGATATACTGATAGTGAAATTTTTAATTCTATAAATAAAATTAAAATATCATCATATTTTTATTACGTGATTCTCTACTTAATACATCAAAATGCGTTACATAATACTTTGAACAAATGAAATGTGATTGATTTTAATAAAACGAGATAAATGATATAAAATCTTTTAAATTTTATTTATGTTCATTTTAGTCTCTAAAATTCTAAATTGAGTTCCATTTATTTTAGTTTTATAACTTAATCTAATATTTAAAATATTATTTATAATATTATAATATTTTATCTATTTTTATTTAATAAATTAATATCATCGTCTTATTGGATGGTATTAATTTATTTAAAAATAAAATAAAAATTTATAAGATTATAAATAACATTTTAAATATTAAACTAAATCATAAAATTTAGACGTAATTATGAGTTAATATATGATTATATATTAAATAGATGCTGCTGCTGCAATTTTCGTACTATATATATATCACGTGTCCCACTCTAATTAATAAAGATTATTAATGAACGTTTATTTATTTATTTTTATGTAAAATGGGCGACATTTATATACTTCAAGGAGTAATTACTATTGATCGAAAACCAATTGAGTCGAGCTCCATTTTAGAGTTTTCGAGTCGAGTTGAACTCAGTAATACTCGAGCTCGACTCGGCTCGTTTACAGCCCTATCCTGGACCCTTCAATTCTCATCCCAATCATCTTCCCTAATTGTCCGTCCTGCAACGTACTTGAACCGTCAGTGAAAATTGTAGATTTATGGAAACTATGAAAGAGTTTCTCTATGAATATTAGGTTCAATTTGAATGATGGAGCACATATCACATTTAGAAGTTGTATCGGATGATTAGTAACACAAGATGTTTTCAATAAGTTAGGTGAACAAATTATACTTTCAATCATCATGTTTGCAGAATTCACCTTTTGTAGCTTTTGACAAACATCGACGGTATGACGACCTTGCCAGCCATAATAATCATATTTTAGGTGTCATCTGTATGCATCATAAGTGTGCCTAATCTTGACACATTCCAGATGAGGATTTTTGGTGTGAATTTCCTTTCAGTATTTTGTTGAATTCTTATTTACAGTAAATGTTGAAATCTCAGCTGCTAGTGATTCTACCTTGGATTTCTTCTTCTTCTTGGAGAATAAGAGAATAGACTTTATTAACGTTGGGAAGTGGGTCCACTAGGAGGATCTGTCCTCAAATGTTGGTATAGATTCGTTGAGCCCCATTAAAAATTTCAAGATCTTTTGATTCTATTAAAAAGGTGAAACTTCACGGTACTGCATGTGCAGGTAGGAATATTTCATAGTGCATATCGCTCATCCCAAAGGCCTTTAAGCATTGTATAATAAGCTTCAATAGTCATTGTCTTGCTTGTTGTGGTGAATGGTTTCTTCAACGTGGATAATATTAACATCATTAGTACGAGATAATTGTTCTTGTAAGTCGGTTCAAATTTGACAAGCCTTTTCATTATACATTATGCTTGATCTGTAACACCTAACCCATTCGAGGCTGAAGGTGCAACATTAATAGCATCTCAACCAACCATTATATCGATATACGTATACACTTGTGGAGAATTTAAAACATTTATGCAAAATGAAAAGTGGTAGCTGCATGCTTTGCTTAGATTTTAAGCTTCAAACTATGGAGCTCCCTTTTCCAAAACATTTTATGAGGATTCAAAACAGCAAATCCTAATACGCTGTACGCCAACAAAAATACACAGACCGACACTACAAGGTATACATTAAGCCCGGCAAAGAAATTTAGAACTGTACTCTTAGGTTGAATATCGATCTATTCCTATTTACTTGAGAGGAAAAACAATTAAAGAATGAGCTACTAAAGTCCAGTAATGAACAATTATTCTAAACTTGATATCAATACAAAATAGCATTATGAAATTGATATCTACTCTAGATCGGTTCTAAAATTGATATCAATACAAAATAGCATTATGAAATTTTAAAGTTTTCAAGATAGTTTCGAGTATCAATACCGCCAGCCTTGGTATCGATAGCCTCTCATTGATGTCAATAATGAACATAATAGTTTCAATACCGATTGGATATTTCCTACCCATTCTAGAAGTCTCGATAGTACATATACTGTTCCTAAGTAAATGCAACGATTTTGATCATAGCTACTCCTTTTTTCTTTTGTCCACGGTATCGATATTGTTTTTCTCAAATAAGTCTTTACTTTTCTATTTCCTTTTCTTCCACTCAAATAAACCTCTTCCTAACAACCGTAATACTTTCTTAACTACTATCAAAGTTCAAGTTTGGTAAAGGAAATAGAAAAGAAAGGGTTTATTTGAGAGGAGAAAAGGAAAAGGAAAAGGAAAATGCTACTTCCTTTTTCATTCATCCACGGTATACCTCCCTAATAGGAGAAGTCTTTAAAATGTTCTATTTCCCCTTTTAGTCCTCAAATTTCTTTCGGTTTCCTAAATACCATCTTTTGGGCTTAAAGTTTGGGCTTTCGAATAATTATAATTGCCAACACTTAACTCGCTCTTCCTATAATTTTTAGTCGGGTCAATATTCACACCCTGACTCGATTATTCTTCGTCCATTGCATGATCCTTTGTCCTATGATATTGAATAGAAAATCCATGCCCTTACAAGATCATTACAGTGTTTCCATTGTTGATATTCTGTTGGAGAAGTCGTGTGATGGTTGCTTGATAGAATCGTTCACAAAACCTGCTTTATTCTTAATGTTCAAAGTCATGTATATTGTGAACCCATTGAACAATAAAGGAAGTGTTATTCTCTCTAGAGGTCTCGAGATTGATTAGTTGTGCTTGTAGGGTGTGTGTTGTCATTGATTAATAAAGATTTCAAACAAATATTATTTTATAATCACCTCAAAAACTAATCTGAATGATGAAGTTGATCTCATGCTTGGTTGAATTTCGAAAAGCATATGTTTCTACCATGTTTATTTAGCTCGAAGAAATATAAGAAATTCAACAATACTTTAACCATGATCTTGATACCATGTAAAACAATGACTAATAGCAGTCTGTGGCAAACCAAAATTCGCCTGCACCATCTCCCCTTGCTCTGTTGAACGGAGTGTGCCCTGCCAATTCAACATGCTTATCAACCACAGAAACCAAATCTAAACATTCCTCAAAGCAAAGACATCCTATTCCGTATCAGAAAAGCTTTCAAACAAAAATACACGGAACACCATTAAACTTAACAGTAGACGTGTTAGGTTATAAAACAAGGGAAACATCTCTCTAATAATACAAGTTCTACCTTTTGGCAAATAGAATGGATAGGAGTTGGAATTTAAATAATTGAATTTTCCACATTAGTAAAAAAGAAGCAAATTGTAAATTGAAGCGACAAGAGTAACCTTATCACAACAAAAGATAACCAAATAAGATATCAATTGAGAAACAAGTGATCTCCCAAATTATGGAACTATTGAATAAATAATTGAATAGCAATTACCAAATTTCTGAGATAAAAATTGCAGTGGCAACTCACCATTACAGAACCAGGTGTTTGGGATTGAATGGCTAGATATGTTGTGCCACCACCACGACCAATACTCCCTCCTCGACCATGGAAAAGAGTAACTTTGATTCCAAACTCATTGCATGCAGCAACAACATCCCCTTGTGCTTTGTAAAGCTCCCACGCAGCAGTGAAGCGCCCAGCATCTTTACCAGAATCAGAATATCCGATCATCACCTGTTTCAAGTAACTTTGTAAACACAAGATTAATGGAATATCAAAAATAATCCTGCAAATGGCCATAAAATCAACGTACTTCTTGATGACCATTATGGTTCTTTATAATGTGCTCCCGGTACCAATCAATCGATAACAGTTTTCTGATAACTGAACCTGCTTCTCTTAGGTCTTTCACAGTTTCAAACAGGGGAACCACACGCAACCTAGTCAAAAGATAAAAGATATGTATTGATAACTTGGAAGTAACAGTGCCATAGTTATGCTGAATTATTTTAACCATAACTGAACGTGTGTCAGAGCTCTTATTTTTCCCCTTCAATACTTTATTCTTATTTTTCCCAGTTTTACTGAATCCAAAATTAAAATGAATAATCGGTAATGTCTGTCACTCATCTACAAGAGCATATAAATTCGTCCATGTCCAAAAAGGAGCTATGAGCTATGAGTAAACACATTGCAAGGACCCACAATTAATATCAACCTAAAGTGGATGCAGAAAAACAGAACCAAATCAGATAGAAGAAATTTAAATCCCAGGGGAATCAATTACCATTGTGCTATCATACGTAAAAATACATGGTAAGTTTTAATGTATCTAAGAGTGTACGAGTATCAATCCACTAGCCTAAGTACAAACTTACGTTCCACCAGGACAAGGCCTCCCTAAGCGTAGAGAGCGTGTCTCGCCTGCCAATTCTCGGTATGTTTTTCACGTGTATCAATTATATAGAGCGCGCCCATTTCAACCATAAGCGTAGGAATCGACTGGTGTGATGCAAACTGTCGCATCACTCTGTCTGCAGTGTGCCACTCTACAACCGCATAATACAACAACAGCGTCACGACACACCATAAGTGGGACCCCTAAAAACTCCCGCCGGTAATACATGAATGATCTCCTCATCGACGTACGCAAATCAAGAGAACTGTAAATATTAAACATCAAAGTTAGTATACATAAAGTTAAAAAGAATAAAAATAATAATAATAAATTTGTATGTCATACCGCATATCGACTAATGATGTCGATCCTGATATGTATGTTTCGTGTAGTGGCACCCGCCAAGTTTGTCTCAGAGATTTTATGACGCCATCTAAAGTATTTAAAAATAAAAAATATTATAAAAAATAAATTTACTAAATTAAAAAAGTTTAAATAAATAAAGTTAAACAATTACTTTGTAGCCAGTAGAAACTTGACCGGGGCTGTTGTAACTAGCGTCAAAAGCGGGAAACGATACCAAGCTCAGGACTGTAGCAGTATCAGACAACATGCTACATTGGCTTTTCAACCTAGTTGGATGATTGGGCCTTGCAAAGCTCCCAGTAAATAAAGGCCAAAATCGTCGAGCTCCAACTAGTATTACAACACACAACGAAGTCTTCCAAATATCGTAGATGTTGCTTGTGGGCCAAATTACCGAAAAATTACTGGATTTGTCCGGTAATAATATCTCCCTAATCACTTGGAGAGGAAATGCTCGGGAGAAAAAAACAATCTCCGCCTCGATAGACTCATTTGTGACTTAGAATTCGGACTCCAACCATGTTATCAATACCCGATAGCCCCTGATGATGTCAGATGGTGGCCATTTTCCCAAAACTTGGTAAACCAACGTCATGGGGTTGTAAATGTTTTGGCTCATCACTAGGGCTCCATTCATCGAAACACCGAGTTGGTAAGTGTCGTATTCCAAAGTAATCGACGCTTCACCACTCAAAAAATGAAATGTGTGCTTCTCGTACCGTCAACGTTTGATCAGAGCCTCGATGAACACCGAGTACAACTTGAAACCACGTAAAAATATGACAAAAATAGACCGAATTGATGTACATACATCATCATCCGCTGATGCAGCTCTCTGGTTGTCATCCCCCCGACTACGAATACTCCATTTATCGTTCGACCCGCGTTGGATTGAAGAAACATGGGCGTTATCTAGCCGCAACATATATTATCGGATTGTCATTTTTCGAGATTTTCACACAACGTATGATTTTTTTTTCAATTTTTTGTATTCAGGGTTTGGTGAAAACCAAAACCCCTATTTATGCTTATATGTCTGTTGAACAACAATTAGAAAACAACTAATATTTTTTAATTTGAACGAACTCGTCACCTCGACGTGATTAGTTCGCCCTAGTTTTTTAAATTTTAATTTTAATTTTTTAAAATATTTTTTAATGGACTCGTCACCTCCGTGATGAGTCATTATAATACCAATAAAATAATGGTTCACGTGTTACCCACTACACGGGGACCAATTAAAAATAATATCCGAGGTGGTGCACTGTAAAAAATATCTTATTCTCCTAAATAAATTCTGGATAAGCCCAATACCCCCAAATAATTGACCTCTTGGGAGTATTGGGCCAAAAAAACCATGTGTTGTGCTGAAGGTTTTGCGTATCTTTGGTTACCTATCTATGCATCAGTCCCCGCCCATTTTTGCACCACCAAAGACCTATCTTTTGAGGCCACTGTTCAGGTGTGTGCAGTAAAGGCCAGACGAGCCCTGCTCCCAAATTTTGGCAAATTATCATTTGTTTGCTCAAATATTTTAAAATTTTAATTTAGTCGCTTCAAAAATTTTAAAACTATTATTAAGTTTTGAAAATTTTAAATATATTTAAAAGGTTTTCTTGTAATTTTTTTAAATATTTCATTAAATCTCATATTTTTTTTTAAACAATTCTTTCGTCCATATCTTTAAAATTTTTAAATTTGTGAACGTCCCACAAATTATTTTACCAAAATTAATCTACCACTGCCTTTACTTTTAATTATAATTTATGATTCTTTTAGATCATTACTGTTTACTTGTTTGCTTATTCTCGACTTAGCAAGCGCCATGTCCTTGAGCTGCCCAAGTAAAATCATTATACTATAATATATATAACATTTGTTGTAGATTTAGGTCAACTTCAACTTAACATGTCGTCATGGGATCCTGGTTAGTTGATCAGTGAATTAGGATTTAGGTCGGTCCCATAATTATTCTTTGCAAAAAAGATTAAACAATCCAATTTCTAACAAATTTTCATGTGGGTGGCACTTGATCATGGTGATCCAACGTTTCAACCAGGCTTGACCTTAACCTTAAATAAAGTTAAACCAAGCTTAATCATGTGAACGAGTGACAAAATCGTCAATCATATTCAGTCTTTTATGCTCAAATTTTCAACCATATATACCAAGAAAAGATGGTTGCATTTGTTGTAGCCTATCTTAATCTTAGCTCATTTCTTTCGGAATGAAGTTTATTGGCTCGATGGATACAATAGTCATTATTGGCAGATAATAACCTTTTGACATTGATACCCCATGCAACTCGTAACTAATTATAGGAGGTTCCTATCATTTGTTTTCTCGAGACTTAAGTAGTGGATCATGGTTTGGTAGCATTGCATCAAGTTACCTTTTTCAGTGTTTTTATATTGATCAATAAAAATTGGAATTTAATAATCATATTAGTTATATTAAGTATTATTATGTACATTATATATATATTTTTAAAAATTGTAGTTTTGATCCTTTTACTATGTTTAAATTTAAGACTTAATATGTTTTAATCTGCATAATTTGTTTTCTCTTTTAATTATAATGTTTTTTGTGAATATTTAACATCGTGAACTATTTTAAGTTACATATGGATGTTAATGTTAGCATGATGACTAAGAAAATTTTTAATTCAAATTTTATTTTAATATAATATTTAAATTACCCAAATTTCTCTAGTCATTGAATGGTATTACAGATATATATTAGGCAAAAGGGTACATGTACTATTCTAAAACAATGAATGTGACCGTCAAATTTTCTTGCACTCAATATGACCCTCGAACTTAGAAAAGAAATCCAATGTGACCCTTTGACTAACGGTCTTCGTCGTTGACCGATACGATGCTGATATGGAACTTCACGGTTCTGACATGGCAGTACATGGTGCTGAAGTGGTAGTCCAATGTGGCTGGTGACGTGGCTGATAGGCTAAATTGAGTTTTTTTAAGTTCAAGGTCCAAAGTGATTTTTTTAAAGTTCAAGGTCTTATTTGATATACAAATATTTTAAATTTAAAATATTAAAAAATTAAATATAAAAATACTATTAATTATGAGTATTATTTTTTAAATAAAAATATTAAAATATGAATATTAAAATTAATAAATATATACTATAAAATTAAGAAAAATTAAACACGAGTAAAATAAATAAAATATCAAATACACAAGAATAAAGAATACATCATTTAAAAATAAGAGTAAAATATCCATATTAGTACATATAAAATGAGTTCTCAATAATTATTTATATTGCATTACAAATAATTCTCATCCAATCAAATTTTTATTATTTTAATAAAAAATTTATTAATTTATAAATATATTTCTTAATATCATAACATAGTAATACCAAAATTTTCTTTAGATATATCAAAATTTGCAACTAATTCTAAAATATCTATGCTCTACCCTATTTAAATGTTGCTTTCTTGCACGAACATAGTGACCTCGGTGATAAAAAAATTGTTTTTATTTCTTGAGGTCTCAAATTTGAACACCAGTAATGTTAAAGTTGTGAGCATTCAATATCAAATGGTTGAGTATTTGATAAATATAATCAAGCAAGCAACATTTAAATAGGGAAGGATTTTGCAATTTCAATGAAAATAAAATAGTAAATTAAATTAAATAATAAATTTTAAAATTAAATATAACTTATTTATTTAATAAATAATATTAATAATTAATGACATTTCTATATTTATTTTTAATATGTTTTTATATTTTAAATTTAAAATATTTGTATTTTTTTAAAATAAAATAAGCCATTGAACTTAAAAAAATAATTTGACCCTCGAACTTGAAAAAAAAATCAATTTAGTTCATTTACTACATCATCAATCATATCAACAACCATCGTGGACTATTGCGTTAGTATTATAGACTGTCACGTTAATAATGTGAAGTGTCACATCAACATCGTAACGATCAACAATAAAAATTGTTAGTTAAAGGAGTCACGTTGGGATTCTTTTTTAAGTTCAAATGTTACATTGAATGCAAAGAGAATTTGATGGTTACATTCATTTTTTTGAAAAAGTATATGAGCTTCATGTACCATTTTACCTATATATATATATATATATATATATACACTAACTCAAGTTCTCTTGAAAGTTACAAAAATAATCATGTAACTGAATTAATATTGGATGATGAATTGAGGAAAATAGATAGTATTAAGGATACAAAACGCAAAGGAGGCTGCCTGAGCCCTAATGAATTGCTGGATTGAGCTTGGGACTATTATTGTACTGCAAAAAAGCAAAGAACTTGAAAAAGAACCCCATGAGCCGGAATAGACGGATTGTGCATATGGTGGGTAAAGTTGGTGTAGCTTTTACCTCTCCTCAACACTTTCCAATGCAAGTCAGATTTGACAGTCATTTCTCCTTTTCATTTTCCGCGTTTTACCCCACTGTTCCCTTATTTTCAGCCTGTTTTGCCCCACATGACAAAGACATTACACAGCTACTGTCTCCTTCGATTCCCACTATTCTCCTATACTTCTCTATTCCCTTTCCCTCTCAGTTATATTGTCCATTTGTCTATTCTTGTTATCAATTTGGTGGGGCTGCTCAACTTCTCTCTTGTCAGGGTTTTCTTACAAGTGCCTGACCAAAAATGGCATTTACCTTCCCCCAAACTACTGATATAAGTTAATAGCGCACTCTTTGTTTATTTATATATGCTTCGTTCTCTCTTCACTCTCCGGAACTTAAAACTTGTTTTTTTTCCAATATGAAGACAATCACAGCTAAAAGCCCCCACGATTCTTCTTTCTCATTCTCCAGGCGATATTTCAACTGGAAAAAGAAGGTCGAAGATGATGACAACGAGGAAGAAATCCTAAACTTCAGCTCCTCGTCTCATTTTTGTGATGATGAGCTTCGACCCCGTCAAGTTTCTTTAGCTCCAGCACCGACAAAGAAACTGGCAATCGTGTC